TAATTTTTTTGTGTCAAGGGAGAGATTGTTTGCAGTAGGGTTGTATGAGTTAACTATCTATGTATATGCAGTGTATTACCTACAGTAGATGGCAGTAAGCATGCTCCCAGGTTAAGGAAGCAGACAGAAGAACCAGCACAGAAAATATATACTGGCACCTAATGAAATAGTCCCACTCAAAACAATCAATATCTATATTTGTATTTACCGATGAGATATACTTCCCTCCTCAAAGCCACCAGACTCTGTTGACCAAAACAGTCATTTTACTTCCCAAAACATGGTTGTTGTTGTTGGTCTACATCTGCCTCTATTGATAGTAATGTGTTATTGTGTGACTTTAATTGAATCAACACCAAAGTCCCAGAATAACACAAACACACCGTTACAGGCGGTAGTAGACCAGTAACTCCTGTGTAGTAAAATGACAGTTTGTGTCAGTTTGATTGCTTTGAAGAGAGCAAAGATAATGGCTTCAGTTGCAGATTTTTTACTTCAATGAATACACGGACTATGAATAAGACGCTCATACAACCCTGCTTCAAATATTCCAAACTATCCCTTTAAAAGCATCATTTATTCTGGGAAATGACACAGATTCCACCAGTTGCCCTTGACAACAGACGCCATTGAGTAGAGCCAAGCTCACACCTCGCCGTGATGTCCAATGAAGCGAGTCGAAGGAGAATAACAACAAATCAGCTCCCATTCATCGACATTCACTCCTCCCATTCTGTGCACTCTCAATGGCCAAACAAAGGCCACGGCTCAGCTCATCAGAGTGATTTGTGGCGCTGATTGGGGACTGTGTGTGTGTGTGTGTGTGTGTGTGTGTGTGTGTGTGTGTGTGTGTGTGTGTGTGTGTACTGGGACAGACATACAGTAAAAACTGGTTTCCTGTATGTTACAGGAAGAGAGCAAAACAACAAGCTCTGACCTGTTGAGTGTAAATGAATGTTGTGCTGGGAAACAATTAACACCCAAAGCCAGGAAAACAATCTGATTAAAAATAATAAAAAACATTGTCTCGATTCGTATAATGAGCCCAAACTTTTATATTGTGCTAATGAGATAAAACAAAAAGGAAGGCAGGGCTATAACCATCGATCAACCAATCCTCATCTCATAATCTGAGAGACGAAAGTATAACACCTTAGCCTGAAGGTAGATAACAGGGGAAATGTATCATGCACATTCAGACTATTTGCTGTTCCTGACTGTCTAATTATCCAACACTGAGGCCTGAAGATGATGTTTCCCCCTGGGCGCCTAACAGAAGTCTTTGCATGATGCATTTGTCTGCTAAAAAACATGACTAATGGCAGACAGATGCTCTTTTTAAGGAACACTGTTATCTCTTTGCCAAGAAAGTGGAATGAGACCTTGGGCAAAAACACCCTGCTGCCCAGAGGGGATATTGTGAGGAGCTCCGAGAAGGAAAACACACCCTCATCCTTTTTCCTCCAGATCAAAAACACACGCACACACACAGCTTTAAGAGGGGAGATCTTCCTCTTTGAAAGTGATCTAATGATATCAAGAGATTAGGCTTCTCGGTGCATTAATTACACACCTCCAATGATGTAAACACATACGAGACCTTTTAGCATCATCCATATTGATCTTTAAATAAATCAAGTCAACTACCGTCCTTCCACTGCGTAAACAAATCGATTTCCTCCCTGATAAATCCCCTTCCCTTTTCATCAGAGCAGATTCAAGCTTGGCAAGTCCGTTTGACGCACACACATGCCAGGTTGGGAACCCTCTGAACCGAGGAGATGACGAGGAAATGCCAAATGTTACAGTGGGCATTATGTGTGATGCTACAGCGACGAGACTGTGAAATACAATTTAAAAAAGGGCCAAAACTGAGGTTTAAAAGTAGCCTATACTCAGACTAAACAACACTACTAGCCATAATATAGGATGAGATTTCTTTTTTTACTTCTTAAATTACACACTTATAGATTTAAAATAATAATTACAAAAAAGTAAACATTTTATTTATACATTAATATTTTTGCAATACTGCTCAATTAGGCTCTGACTCCCAAATCCATATTTGCAACAATCAAATTAAACATTTGAAAGTTGAAAACAACAAGTCATTTGAATAACTTAACCTGGGCTTACATAACTAAAACTAACAATTAAACTCTTAGAAAAAATATAAATTAAGAAAGTAACCAGCAGATTCACTGAGAATGAAAATACTCGTTATTAAAAGAAATGATGTCCCAATTGGAAACCAGCTGAGAATCGCTGGTTAAAAAAATATAATGACCCGTTAAGAGAAAGAAGGAGATGTTACAGTGGAACCCCCCCCCACACACACACTTCACAGAGACTAGACTTTCCAACTTCTGTCTGGAAAAAGTGCTGGAGGAAAATGACTAATGCTTTATCCTTCCACAACAACGACCACTAAGGTGCCCATGGGCAAGGTTCTCGATCCTGCACCAATATAGCTCCTGCTCCGCTAAAAGGATCCCCCGAGCGTAGTCGCATAAAAGTTAACTGAGGATGGGATACACTGCCTGCTCCTCTCCCTGAACAGCTCATAAAGCTGTCCTGCTGAGAAATTCCACTTCGAGCGATAGAACTATTAACAAAGCACTTATATACTAATAAAGGACTGGCTTACCTAAAGCCAGTTGAGTAGCACTTGAAATGTTTGGCTCTATGAAACCTGATGTACTTATATGATTCTGTTTTCTTCAAGGTTGTGTCTTCCTGGTCGAATGTACTTATTGTAAGTCGCTTTGGATAAAAGCGGCAGCTAAATGCAATGTAATGTAAATGTAATGTAAAATGCCTCTGTGTTAGAGCGCACCTGGGTGTACAAGACAGCAGGACTATGAACCACAGAGACATTCAACTGTAGGGATGGAAAACGAGTGGTAGCATTTATAGAAAGTACACGACAATAGGGCAAGTTGGGAGAAACTGGGAATATAATGAAGACAGAATGCCCTAAAAGTGCAGTAATGTTTAGTTTTTTTAACTCTACGTGCGAGCTCTGAAGGGTAAAATCACAATTTATTTTCTTGACTAATAAAACCTATATGAAAAAAAATGCTTTCACATTCACAATCCTTTCCCTTTCTAAATGTTATCTTATTTAATCCATTAACCTGTGTGATGCTGTACGTTTGGTCCAGAGAAATAAAAGTATGGAAACATGAACAACCTGTATACACTCTTTTTTCCACACATCATTATAGATGGAATCGATAGTGATTGTTAAGAGTAACTAATAATGCCATCGACACCAATATAATCATATACACTTCAGTCCCTAGTCAATATGTGGGTGTCGGCTGGCAAAATACACATTTATAAAATGATTTGGCAATGAGAGTTGCACTCAAACAGTTGTAATCAAATAAGGTCAAATTGTAGAAGAAAATCGTGACTGTAACGCAATTTCATTGGATGTATAAATTGATGGTCACAAGACTTGTGAATTGCAGTGCAACACAAAAGAAAGTGCACCCTACATTTAAACCTCCCCCTCTTTGGAAGCTATATAACTCTTAGCCTAGAAGTATGTTCTGTACAGGGCTTCACAAAGAAGCAGCTCTTTGTACTGAGCCACTGTAACTGGGTCAGAGGAGAATCTGTTTCTCTGTCATAACATGTCATGTTATTCAACATTTGGGAGGAATATAGTGACAGGAGCAAGTCACCAGCATGTGTTGCATCCATGTAACATATAGCAGGAAGGCACAAACTACCGCTCTATAACAGGAACATCGAGAAAACAGCAACCCCTCGCCCCTTTATTTATATCTTTAGATATAATAACAGGGACATATTAGAATCACCTGAGATGAATGCAACACTTTCAGACAGGCTGGATAGACCAACCACTTGGCTATACGTGTGTTTCTATGTGATGTCTGGATGATTAGAAAAAAGTCTAAGCACTATAAAAGGTCGCCTGAGTGAGCAAAGTGTCAAATTGCCTTAAAACGTTTTGACAAGTACACGGTCTGGTCTGCAGATGGTCCATCCCCAACAAACTCCATTATAAAACCTGTCAATTTAATGATGCCTCATGCACAAAGAAAAACCGTTATAGATAATATAAATTATTAATCTAGGTAATTTGTTATGCTTTTCTCTTGTCCTTGCTACAATTCTTAATGAAATATCCTGTTCTGGTCTCAGCAAGATGCTTGGTTCGCCTTCATCAAACTCCATTATTTAGCAACTACTTTTACAAATTAATCATCCAAGTCATTTTCTTATGGTGGTACATACAATATCGTGGACTGGAGAGGATATGCAAAAAAGCTCTGTTCAATTCCACCAAGCTCCATTACACAATGTGTACATTTAATGTTGCCTCAATATAAATACATACAGTACAATAACACAATTTAAGAGCTTGAATTACTGGCTGACACATTTCCATATCAGGCTTACTGTATTGTTTGTGTACCTTAAGATTTCTGGAATAAGAAGGTAGAGGGCCCATTAATGAGAATGGAAATGTTAAAGGGAAAGCAGTGAATGGAGCATTGGATCTGTGCCAAGAAATGCAGAACGGCCACAACAGATTCATGAGTGGTGTGTAAATATTTCCATATGAGGATTATTAGACCAGCAATGAATTATGTGTTTGAATTACTTGTTGGGTTCCTTGCAGAGGAATATAAAACGTGTCGGGACTGGTCGACGGTGTGTCAGCTGTTAGCAGTGCAGACAACACTGCCTGGAAAATAGGAGGATTTCCAACTTGTTCTGTGATGACAGAAACTCGACGGTTAGCTTTTATAATAGACATTATAATAACTTGTCAACTCTTTGTGTGTCTGTTAAACATGACATTATACACAAAGTTAACACAATTTTGTTTTTTGTATAGACGTGTCTATAAATGACACACCGTAATGTATGGATAAGTTGTCCTTAACAATAAATGAACCCTCTCACTTATGTTATAGACGCTAGGTGGCTAACGTTAGCTAATAGTATACACGCATATTTACCATGTTGACGTTGGTGTAAGAGTGTTCCTACTCCCGGTAAAGTTTTCTCGACTACTGCACAGAAAGCTCCGGACATATCTCGGGACTCAAGCTGGGTCTCCCGGTTTCGTTGTCCTCACATTCAGAGTTTACGGTGGTCCGTTAACGTCGTCGGTGCTTCACATGCCATCACGGCTCCCACTCGCTGCCACCGCTGCTGGAACAACCGACCGACGGCGGCAACGGTGTGACTCGTACCCCCACCAGCCCGCCGCGGTAATCCTTCTAAAGCCAGCGGCACGGAGTAGAGACAGTGTGTGATTAAGCCCCGCCCACCGCGGTATACAGATGGAGGGGCTGCGGTAAATATCAAATACACCCACATGAATTAATTCATAACCAGAGACTGGAGAGCTCCAACTTAAATTAGTTTCACATGTACTTAAAGTAGGACTGAAAAAGAAAATGTAATGTATCTGTTTATGGTTGCCCATGTTGTGTTACATTTTGAATATACTTAATAATCAAATAAGGTCCAATTAGTACTTAATTAGGTATGGCCGACAGTTTTACATTTCTATAACTAAACATAATATAACTAAACTAAATAATAAATAGATGCATAAAGTCTTTGTGCAAGCCAAAGACACATTTTTTATTGTGCTGGAAGAAGTGTTGTGCAGAATGGGCTCTTTCAGTGTGTACAATTATCATATCATGTAATTTATGATTATATAAACTAACTGATTAGATTACTAGTCACATAGATTGATAGCTGATTGACTAATTCGAGATGACACCAGCCAGATCTCAAGTTAACGATAAATTAATTATAACTCACAAAGTCATGAATGATTTAAAGACACAGCCGGTCAGGGCAGGTGTTCTCTGGCCCCAATGGTACAAAAAACAATTAGTTTTGCCCTGTCATGTGATATGAGTCTGCTAATAGTTTACTATCTGGGCTCACAGTCACATTAAGTATGTATGCACCCAATTTAAGGGGAGATGCTACATGTGAAAATGTTGAACTGGTAAATATCCCCATAAAACGTCCCCCGGTTGATTATACATTAAGATAAGTATGTTATGTATTACTAGTTTTGGGGACATTTTTATGTTTAGACATTTATGATGCTTTGGCTGACGCAAATAGAAATGTACTGCTAAATGTCTATTTTGGAGGGGTTTATTTCCACAAGTCTGAAAGAAGACATGTTATGAAAGCAAAAAATACATGAAAACAAAAGCATGTCAATTTTTGTTTTTGCCTGTTGTCTGGATTTGTCTCATGTTCCTGCCATGTTAGAAAACATGACATAGTGACATGTGCATTAACCCTGTGTCATTGACCTGTCATTCTTTATTACTTTCTCCCCTCTTGTGCACAAATTGATCTGATGCCGACTTCATGAGGACAGGGAGTGCGTCATCCATCTTTTAATCATTGTGACAAGTGTGTGTGCTGACAGGTTGGACAGTCCGAGGCTGTGTGATTCAGCCTGCAGGGCAGATAACAGCACCGGCACTGAGGATGGCTGCAGGGCAACACTCTGATATTGAAAGTTGAATCTGATCCAAGTTAATTAAATCGTATCATTTCACTGAACGGCTGCGCGTATATATTTAGAAAGATCATTACATAGCTCCGGGATGGATCCACAATTCATCTTTCTGCTATGATCAATCCTAATAACCTGATACACTTCCAGTCCATTTCCCCTGGGTGTCTATGTATCCTATCCATGCCTATGCATGTGGGAAAGAGAGGTAGACAAAGGGTTAAATGTGACATTTAATTAGGTCTCTATCTATAGTACTTTTGCATTGATTTGATTCGGAAACTGCATTGGCTTTGGGCTCACAGTAAAACAACTTTAGCCTAATGTGTTGCAATGCCACTGGAGCAGATCTCTAATGGGTATTTTAGCACTGCATGATACTTGCAAGGCTGTTAATCAGCAAACAAAACATTGCATTTTAACACTCTCTCTCCTGCTTTGATACAAAAGAAAGAGGACACACATTGACACTACCCACAAACACAATCTCTGACATACATGCAGTTGCAATTCTTTATCTAAATGTCACCATATTTCACTTTTAATTAGTGCAATGGAGGTCAAAATCCAATTATCTGACTAAAACAGAGTTGCAAAACAGCATGTATTGAATACCTGAGTGTATTGATCTACAAATTCATGGTTACAAATGATGTAAAATCCATGTGTGTCAAGGATTTAGGCATTTACGTGCATCCATAAAACATACTCTGCTAATCACAAGATGCTATTGTTCCTTTTCCCCTTGGAATGTTTGTGTACTTTACACACTTCCTGCCTCACTTTCCTGTCTCCATCTCAGCTGTGACATCACTCTGACCTCAGCAACACCAGAGACTTCCAGAACGCTGATACTTTCCAGGAGCCTTTAGCTGGGGGCTAAGGATTGTTTGGGGGAGGACCAAGGTCAGGAGACTTTTGGTGAGGCCCTGGAATTTCTTTTGGGAGTTTGGAACATTATGGATGGATTTTGGAATATTTTAGGTGAGGGAATCGGAGTGTTCCCGTGAGATATGGGAATGTTGGAAGGGGATATCGGAACATCCTGCAGGGGTTCTGGAATGTTTGAGTTAGGGGCAGTTCAGAATGTTCTGGTGGGTTAGGAGCATCAGATATTCTGTAGGGATTTCTGAATGTTTAAGATTAAGCAGGTCAGACCTTGGGACTCTAAAAATGTCAACACGTTTTCACTCACAACTCCTCAGATACAGCAGCTTGGTCAGTGACACCTTATACTATGATGCTCTATGTACCCCTCTAGAATCAGTTTCCACTTGTTACAAGCACGCCATTTTTTATAAACTGGCATTTACACAGAAAACAACTCAACAAAAATACTTGGTTATGTAAAGTAAACAATTTTGGTTTGGGTAAACAAATATACACTTGGTTCGTAGTTAAGTAGGTTAAATGCATGAACTAAGTTAAGTGTTATGTAGCGTCACAAGGCATGATTTCCGTAAGTCACTCAAGATAAGTCAATGTTCAGTTTTGTTTCACAAAGGACACACACTCCGGTCTCATGGGTGAAAGTCTGCATAGAGAGGTGATTGGGGGGGATATATAAAAAACAAAGAACTTTCATAACCTGTTTGACCCATCTATCCACCCCAATCCATTCCCACAAGAAAATACTTTCTTGTTGCTCTTTAAAATACAGTATGTCACCGGACTCCTTTACAACCACCAACCATACCACTAAAATCTCTATGGATATTTTTACAAGCATTAACTTTATTGTTTTGCTTTTAGACCCCACAAGTTCTGTTACGGTGTGTGTAGGAAGCAGGACCCAAATGCAGATTAAGTGACAAAAATAACTCCTTTATTTCAAGGCTAGACAATAATCAGAGACAGAACAGACCACTCACCGCTAACCAAGTCATTACACAAGACGAACCGACAAAGACAGACAGAAAAACCAGAACTTAAATACACACAAGACTAATCACACAAACAAGACACAGGTGAGGAGGGAGGAGAAAACACAGGGGCCACAGGTGAACACAATCGGGTAATCAGACACACCAGGGAAACTAACGACAGGGATCCACAGACAGATCTAAACAAGACAAAACACAACACAGACAGAAAACCAAAGACAGATCTAGACAAGACACAACGCAGACAGAAAACCAAAAACAGATATAGACAAGACAAAACACCATAAAGACAGATCGTGACAAGTTCACTGTTTTAATTGACTCTAACCTCTCTCATCAGCAAGTATCTGTAAACTCAGCACAAAACAGCATACAGATACATTAACTGGCCGCTCAGCATAGCATTCAGCATCTTAAAGTCCTCATAGTTCCCTCAGGAAGTGGTGGAGAACTAACCAGAGCTACAAAATGATGATAGCTGATAAAGGGCTGTATAATCAGTGTTTTGTTTACAGCATGTTGCAGTGCCTGGTAGATTCCAACTCATTTTACTATTACTTCTCTGCCCGTACAGTATAACTGGCTTTAGTGCAACTGCACTTTTGTAGTCGTCTTTGTGTTGGCTCAGTTCATTATATGGTACACTTCGAGACTATGGTTTGGTTGTTGTAATAGACTGCTTAATGCTATATAAAAACGGTGGTGGAAGATGAATTCCAGGAAACCTGACGTCAATGATAATTTCAGTTCCCGTGTCACCCAATATGTGTGAGAAAGGATACTGACAGAAGGAAAAGAAAGTAGGACAAGAAACGGAAAGCTAATTGATGAACAGCTGTTCTAATCCCGCCTGGTTATGTGTCAGATAGGAAGGGAAAGCAGACTGCGTGTTAGACGTCTCTCTTGGTTTTAAAGAAACGTCCCTTTGCTACTCATTTCCTTTGTGCTTTGTCAGATAGCACGACTATGACAGCGGCAAACTATAATAGCTTTAAAAGAATTTAACTGTGAAATGACTGTAAAATCTGCTCATTTTATGAACCTAATGGAGGCTATGTTAAATGAATCCTGCATTAATTTATATCCATAACATAGACAAGAGAATACATTTGTGTTCATTATATAATACGTCTATATAATATAAGATGTTGGAGCGCCGGGAGATAAAGATATTATGTAGAGAGAATTACATTAAGAACTTGAATAATTCACGGCTATGACTCTGCCTAATGTCTGGCTGATACTTCTGTCGCATAGAAGCTCTAATGTGTTTATAATTTGCTATTCTAAATTTGGAACATGACTGCAGTCAGATTAGCACAGAGGTAAAAAGCTGCGACCCACTGCTGTGTGTGCATCCTTTGATAAAACTAATCTTTCATGCAGGGTAAAGACAGAATCAATGGAACAGGGAGACGCTTGCACATACACATGCACGTCCTCTGGGCTCAATAACTGACGCAGTTGGGTTATGATGTATATTTGGATTATATAACAGAAAGGAAACTGTCAAGCTCCAACTCCACTTTTTAATTTATATGTCAATGCTTCCGTGCCAGCAATTACATTTTCTTTAACAGCATCTCCTACCCTTCCTGTCTCTCTCGCATCATGGCTTTTATCTCTAGTACAATCTTCCCTTCCTTTCTCTCATTTATTGCTTGTACCTTATCAGCTTTACGCTGCAGTGTCACATCATCTCTGTCATGCTGAAAAAACGTACAAATGATGTCAATCCCCCAAAAAAGATGGATTTATCAGAAGGGCTATTTTCAACTAGCGTATTTTTCACATTGTGCTATTGATGCCGATAAGCCCCATTAGGCTCAGTAGTGGCAGAGTAAT